CCATGAGTAACTAGCATGACTGTGGATTCTTATGACACCCTTACTTCCATTCAATTGGCCATTATCATTTCTAAAGGCTTTTTTTTTTTTATATATACTTTTCAAGTTGTCAGTGTCAAAAAATTTATTTGCACAAGCGTAGGTAACTTACATTACACTGCCCTTGTAGGAATCATCTATGCATCTGTCCCAGGGCTAACTCTCCCACCAAGCACAGCACCCGAAGAGGCAGCACCCAGTGCTTCTGCTCCAGAAGTAACCCACTGCAGCACCGAAAGCTCGCAGGAGGCCAGACTAAGATTGTGGATTTCCTTTTGGAGGTTTCAACACTCTTTCCACCTCCAAAACCTAACTCTGACCATCCTTACGCCTGTGCAGTTACAATATGTATTTCTGAAATGCACATAGGTTGGACGCTCTTATGCTAGCTGATTTTTGAGGCTAGCCACCTCTTGCACAAAGATTAAAGCTTAAAAAAAAAAAAACAAAAAAAAAAACTTGCCTTTAACCACACTACTGCCCACTCGTTACAGAATTAACAGTTTAAAAATGAACTCATTTCACTTTACTATTAGTCCCTTCAAATATTTCAGCAGAATTCCTACCAGGTCAAAAAACAAAGTAAATCTCAGTTATAAATCTGGCTACAACACTACACCAAGGACTAATTTTCGAAACATGATAAACATTCTTTATTTCACTACCTAAGCAGTTTTATTTTTAATTTGTATTAGCTAAGCACACATTAGTGCTTCTAGGACTTGAGGGAACACAGAGCAAACTACTTATGCTGAGGATGAAGAGAGTTAAATACCTGAAATTTTTTCCACACAGACTCAGTACACATAAGTTAGGAACAATCCATTTTGCCTTCTCTCAAGAATTTTTCTTCCATAAAACAAGAAGCTATAGGTACTTACAAGTTTTAAAATACAGAATACCAGAAAATAAATTACAGAAATATGTTGAACTTGTACTTCTACTGTATCTAATACTCCTTCAGAGGTGAACCAGGCATTCAGCGTTTTCCCTCTAATGGTATCAAATAAGCGTGCAATTTGTCCATCTATGAACAAGATCTTTTGCTCAGCCCTGAAGCGGCCAGGCAGCTGGATTTGAAGATCTCTGCAGGTCCCTTCTGACTGAACTCTATTCTAGTCTATTCTACCTACTTGAAGACTGCTGAGTTTGAGTTTGCCATGCCTTAGTTTGACCTAGACTCAAAAGCTGCTTAAAGCCTACAAGAACCACCTACAGCATTACCGAATTTAACTACGCAGCACATCACCAGCTACCGTCACTGTATCACTAACCACTTTTTCCAACACAAAACATTAAATACTGGTTCACTATGTAACAACTTCATGAGCTCAACTAGTTAATTTTTTTTCTTCCACTGTTTTTAGACGGAAAACCGATTTTAAAATACAGGTTCTTAATTCTATTAAGGAGATATTTGAGCTAATTATTATTCTCACCTTACAAAATGTCAAACTGTAGTTGATTAATTTAGTTAGATTTTACGATAGCTTTGCCCCATATTCAATGGAATCCCCCCAGCTGTCTGTTCCCATGGAGTTGAACCTCGCTGTGGATAACACTATTTCATCAACTTAAGAAAGAAAAAATCCAGTCCCGGTTACTTATTTGACTGTAATTTTCCTGAAATGCACCATGAACTCTTTGCTAGAGACTAGTCATTGGATTAGCCCAGTAACTCAATCTAGACAGAATTTCCTGAACTCCACTGTATCAGAAACTCAAGACCGCTTTGAGTGCCCCAATTCTAACCACATTGCCAAATTCATGAACTTAATCAAAGGTTATTTTTAAAGCATAAACAAGATTTGCATAATGCTTTCAAACATATTTCCCTTTATTTACATGCCCATCCTAAAAATGATCATTCCTTTTACACAAATGTTAAGTGACCCATGTAAAATGCTTATTAATGACTACTTATGGCAAAACTTTTTTTATCCGAACCTTTTGATTTTTTTTTTTTTAAATTAACTTCATGACTCAAACCAGAGTTTTGCATTCAAGCAACAGACTTATTCATCAATTTACCATACAAATTCTTTACCAACAGTCTCAAAGAAACAGCCAAAGACCAAAAAATAACGGAGAATGAACACTTAACTCCTACTGATGTCTACCCCCAGTTCAAGGCCAAGATCCATAAAACATTATGGGAAATTTGCATTTATTTCTGTTGTGCTTTACACCGAGCAAACAGAATTCAATACTATCTTTGTTTTATTACATGGATTAAAAAAAGAAAAAAAAAAGAAAGGGAACTGGGAGCAATTCAGAAAAACACAATCAATTCAAAGAACTAACCATTCGTTGGCACTATGAAGGGGATTTATTTGTGTGTGTGTGTGTGCGTTGTTTTTTTTTTAATTAGGGCAGAAAGAATTAAGAATTTTCAAGTCTTAAGGTACTGCAACAACTGTTGCAGCTCTCCTGTGATTAGAGGAGCTCAGGTGAGATTGATATGCTGAGCTCTGCAAAACAGCCTTCAAATCAGCCTAAGCACATTGAAATGCATCTCCTAATTTCCTTGTCACTTCAATCCTGTTCAACATATGCATGCTTTTTGTCATTTAAGGTCTTGACACAGACTTCTTTCATTTACTTACTGCAGCAAGCAATATCTTTTAGTACCCATTTTTAAGCAACTTCCTCCAACGTTATCATGATTTCAAATCCCTACATGCTAAAAACATGCATTTCAAGCTTTATACTTCAAGGTTTGCAAATTTTGATTTATTTACTTTTTAGATTTCTAGCTTTCCAAATAGATACTATTAAGGAAGGAAAATACTTTTTAATGATGGCTTTAAAATCATTAAGATGCACGAAGTTAAACTTTAATTCTAAGAAAAACATCAAAGATGTTCTGCAACACACACAAAGGCACAGACACAAAATGAACCAACAGCTCTCACCACTTAAACATTAATTTCATCTAAAAAAATATATAATTTTTTCTTACTAAAGCTAAAAAAAAATAAAACTGTCATTTGTTTTTCTGCTACCTACTAGTGAAATGCTGAAACCTGACATACTGAGAGCAAAAAAAAGTTAACAGCAACTAACAAAATTCCACAGGGTGATCCCCTGCCTGCAGAGGCAGTGTCCCTGCACATCCTTCCAAAGGAAGGCTTTAGCTTCCATTATACTCTCATGTTTCTCCTGGTGTTGCTCAAGATCATCTTCTTCCTAATTTTGAATGTTTACAGTAGACAGAGAAGCAAAAGCCTTCTGTTGTGCATTTTCAAGTCCTATTACACAATAACAGAGCGGTTGAGGTTGGAAGGGAGCTCTGAAGATCAGCTGGCCCAAGCCCCTGCTGAGCAGGATCACACAGAGCACGCTGTGCAGGATGATGTCCAGGTGGGGATGTATCTCCAGAGAAGGACACTCCACAACATGTCTGAGCAACCCGTTCCAGTGCTCTGTCACCCTCACAGTAAGATGCCCCTCAAACATTTATGTAGTAAACAAATCGAGTCTTTCACTAAAAACCAAATTCAAGCATCAGTTTGTTTTTTAATGGAAATGTCAATCCAGCATCCCAAGTACCAATGAAACCACCCCCCCGCACCTAGCTGGTTCCCAAAGCAACACCACTTCAGCGATTAGTGGCTACAGATTTACCTCCTTAAGCAACAGCTCCTTCAAGTTGTCTGAGCCGCATTCAGCTCTAATCCCCTAACAAAACTCCGCACTGTACCAGCTGAACCGGCGCTGCCTCGCCTAGCACCAAGAACAGGGTACTTAACCTAAAACCACTAGCTTCTGCCAGCCAGCTGGCGCACAAAGGCTTTTATTTCCGTTTATTTCCCAATTTCTGAAAGGCACACACACGACAACGCCTGCAACTCAGCGGTGCGTGCCCAGCAGAACCCCGAGAGCCTGGAACCACCCCCAAAGCCCCTTTGAGCCTCACCAGCCGGCAGCCACAAGACCCCCAGCCCCCTGAGGCCTCAGGACGGGGCTGATCCTCCCGGGGGGGGGGGTCTGGACAGAGCCCATTTCCCCCTCCCTGAGGTTCAGCTGCCCAAGGCGCTGCTGCCACAGCCCCCAGCTGCCCCCACAGCCAGCGGCCCCTCGCCCCGGGCCCTCCTTCCCCACAGGACGGCAGCGGGCACCGAGCGGTTCCCGGCGCTCAGAGTGGGCACGGCTGCGGGTGTCAGGGCTGAGAGGCCGAAAAGGCGAGGGAAGGAAGGGCCCTGTCAGCCCCCGAGCTGCCCCCACAGCCATGGAGGAGCTTTCAGCTCGCCCCGCGGGGCTCCGCACGGCCCCGGCTCGCTCCTGTCGCGAATTAAAAAGGCGGAGAGCGAAAAGAGAGCGACTGGGGGGTCCAAGCAGCGAGCAGAAAAATAAAAAATTAAAAAAAAAAACATACAGAAAGAAAAAAAAAAACACAAAACAAAACGACAGTTACTCACAATCATCTAAGTCATCCTGCAAATCCACAAAATACAAAGGGATCCCTACAAACAGAAAACAAAAAGAGAGACACCGGGGGGGGTGGGGTTGGCTTCGGAGGGGCAGCGGCGAGGGCGGCCGGGCCGGGCCGTGGCGGTGCCCCCGGTGAGGCGCCCCCCGCCCGCCGGCCCCACTTACCGGCCATCTTGGAATGGACATGGGCGAGGAGGAGGAGGAGGAGGTGGAGGAGGAGGAGGAGGAGGAGGAGGGCGCAGGGAGGAGCCGCCGGTGCTTCCTGCCCCCCGCACGGCCGCGAACCCGAGCGGCTGAGCAAACAGCAGCTCCCAAAAGGGTGTGTGTGGGGGGGAGAGAATCGCCCCTAAACGCCCCCCGTCCCTCTCCTCAGAGGGAGGAGAAGCGCGGCCGCCCCGCCGGGGCTGCAGTCAGGTGACGGCGGACGGGCCGCCCAAAATGGCGGCCGGGCCGCGGCGGCTGAGGGGGGAGATCCGCCCGTAGCTGAGGGGCGGGGAGCGGGGGGCTGCCCGCGCTGGCGTCGGGCTGTCTGTGTGTCCTGTCCGGGTGTCCGTCTGCCGAGCGGGGAAGGGGCTATGATCGTTCTGGGCCGCGTCTCCGGCGCTCGGTGAAGGCGCAGCCTGCCCGACCATGGCTCTGAGGGAGCTGAAAGTTTGCCTGCTGGGGGTAAGTGTCGCGGGGCGGCGGGGAGGGGAGGGGAGGAGGCAGGGCGGGGGGCTGCCTGCCCTCGCCCAACCTGCTGAGGGGCTCCCCGGGCTGCTGGTGGCTGCTGGGGCTGGGCCCCGGCTCCCCGGCCCTGGTCCCTGGAGGAGCGGTCGGGGGGGCGGACAGGCCTTTCCCTGTGGGGAGAGGCGTTTTCATGGGGAGATCTCCTCATCATCATCATCCTCATCCTCCTCCTTCGGCCTTGGCCTCTGAGGAGAAGCAGAGAGGAAGCGCGAAGGCTCAGTGTGTGCTTCCCTCTTCCTCGGCCTTGGAGTTCGTAAAAGGAATAAGTAAAAGCATCTGAAATCAAACTGGAGAGAGGCAGGGAAGCTGAACTGTTCTTTCTTTTTTTCCTGTGTGTGATTTTTATTTTTTATCAGCATGCATAGCCTTTGAAAGTGCATTAAGTGGAGCAGGTAGAGGAAGGAGGAGACATCAAGCGAAGTGAAGTAGGAGTTTTGGAATTCCAGGGACAAGCCATGTGTTGGCTTGGGTTGGGTTCGCCCTGAGGACTTCATTGGAGAGTCTCCTTTTGAATAGGTGGAGTTTTCTACATCTAAATCCTCTGCTGTACAGAGTGTGACAGGCAGAATGGTCTGCCTGTAAATGGCCCCATTGCCCTTCAGAGAGAAAATTGTTTCTGTGCTCTTCATGTTATGAAAACGTTTGAGGTAACTGAGCTACAGTTGGCTCTGCCTGCAAAGTATTTTGTCCTGTAAGAAGAGGAGAGTAAACACCTATGAAAACTGATTCCTGAAATCCCAGACGAAAAACGGTATCTAAATTTCTCTTTTTGAGATTTGTGTTGTTCATTGAGACTTCAAACACTCGAAAATACAGAACTGAGGTCATACACGTTCTTTGCGAGGAAAACAATTTGAAAAGATAAACATAAGTGTACGTGCTGTACCCAGTTTTATTATAATAGAAGATTAAAGATAATACATGAATGGTGTAAAACTTCAACAGCGCTTGTGCTGGTTTTCCTTAAAATTGTTCACTCTGTAAAGCAAAAAGTTTGTTGTCACCTGTCTTAGTTAAGTGACTATTTAAAATGTCCAACTGCTATTGAGAATGGTCTTAGTACTAGTAATCTGTTATTTCATTACTAAATATGCCCACTACTGCTTGCTTTCTTTTCCCAATTGATTTGGTGGTACAAATACACGTGTGCCCTGAAATTTTTATGTTGAGTCTCTTCTTCTACCATTTATAAACCTGCAAAGTTGTATTTAAAACATGTTTCAGGTGTGTCATGAAGACACTTCAGGCCTTCCATTATGCAGGGTGGGACAGCATTAGTCAGAAGTTGAAATGTGTGTGTCACACTTGTATAATTTCATGTGCTCGATTGCCTTGCAAAGGTGGAGTACAATATTCAGTTGCTCTATATTTTACTAAATGTGGTAGGTCTTTCTCTGCTCTAGTTCAAGTTTGATTTGTGTATACTTTGTGGGAGGAAAGCTTGAATAACTGATAAAAAGCAGGAATGCAGATTTTTATTCTCCATAAAAATTTCTTTATAACAATTTGGAGAACTATAACTTAGCAGAGAGACCTTTCATTTTTCTAGTAAACAATATGCTAATACCCAAAATATTTCAGAATCTAATCCAAGTTCTCTGAGATTGTCTGCAGGAGCATATTATTCATGAAAAATAGATGTGAGACCAAAAAGAATAAAAGGTTTACAGCAACTAATATCTCTTTCAATTGTTCTGTGTTTTGTTTTTTTTCTAGGACACTGGTGTGGGCAAATCAAGTATTGTGTGGAGATTTGTAGAAGATAGCTTTGATCCCAACATTAACCCAACAATAGGGTAAGAAACTAAAGTAAACATGACTCGTTCAAAGATCAGACTAAATTGTAGGAGCATGTATATATACCTCTTTAAAAGATCATATGAGGCTTTTCTGTGTGTGGCAGCTAAATGTGGTAATAAATATGACTGTAGTCTTAATTAGCCCCTGAGCTACCTTAGGAAACCTGGGAGTGTATTCGGCCCTACTGCAGCTTCCATTTTCATATGTAAGATCTGAACGCATTTTGTGTTGCTAATCATGGCTAATAAAATCCTTTTAAAAGTATTCTACTATAGATGCTTCTGTTAAAGAACAACATGCCTTTGTCATGCACTATTCTTGAGTTTCAAAGTATGATTATTATGTGACTGCAAGATTTGTTGAAGGTTTTTTTTGACAAGTCAAGTACAATAACAAGTTACTAGGTTTTCAAAGGTAGCTAATATACTAATTCAGGTTGTAGGTTCTCTTTAGTTACTTCTATTATTATACGTCAATATGTTACGCACTCACTCAAGTAACTGATGAAATTGTTAACGCAATCAGCCACACAGCTAAGGATGTTTGAAAGATGAGCCTCAGAGGAGCAGTGTTACTGAGCTCAAATTTTCAAATAGATAAGAGGGAGAAAGTCAGGAATTCTTGGAGTGCTGGGAAGTTCTTCTGTTTATTTCCTTTGCTGTCCTGTTTGTTTTCCAAGTCTCTTATGCACTGCTTGGCTCAGAAGCAATTCTTTACTTACAGGAGGACAAGACTTTACTTGACGCTGAGAAGCGTGGGGGGTCAATACAATTTCCTGCCTAAGGTGCCATACAGCCTCTACTACAGCTTTGACTGAAAAGATTCTGTTGATAAAGATTAGCTGTGTCTCATCCTGCCCTTCTAGAGAATGTGGTTTCCTTGCTCTCTCTCTCTCTCCTTCCTCCTCCTCAAAGACCCCCTCACCCCCCAATTTTTCTGTGTAGAAATTGGTATTGAAGTGCAAGATATTCTGTAGGAAACATGCTTTTTAATTTCTCTGTTAACAAAGGCAGCCTTTAAGACAGATTGCTAGATTGTTTGTCTTAGATCTTCAAGGCTTGAACATCTTTAGTTACTGTCAAATTAGCTACAGTAGATGTTTTTTTTGGAGGACAATGAAACTGATGTGGGGCTAGTAGCCAGACTGCTATTTGCTTAAGTAGGGACCAGGCTGTCCTAAACACTTAAACATAAATTGTTCAGAAGGCTAAGACTTACTGCACACAGTGATAACAACTACAAGCAAACCTCTTTGTTGAGACAGACAGTACTGAAAGATCAATTTATTTTTTTTATTACCTGAGGTTAATGAGAAATTGGTAATGTCTTCATTCCTAATCATCCAAATAATTAAAAAAAATAATTAAATATTTTATTTTTTATTTTTTTAATTTATTCTGTTAAGTAGTTGGCTAATACGAGTGTTATCTACAGCAGCCCAAAGTTAGCGTTCATGCTCGTGCATGTAGTGCCTGTTTTTTTCATTTAAAAAAAGTCTAAGCAATAAGTGACCTGCCATGGTACCACAGACTTAAGCCTTGCAAATGTGAGGAGTACTTATTCATTTGGCTGTGGTGCTCTTTTCTATAGTTACATGTATATGGCCAGACATCTGAACTACCTGGGTTAAATCTCTGAGTAAACTAGTATGGAATTTGCATTATGTCCTCACATCACACATGAACTCCAGCCTTGTCAAATTTGCTGTCAGTTTTTAAGTTCTGGAAAACTGTGTTGCTGTGCATGTCTGTGAGACTGCGTAACGCTGCGGAGCAAAGGCTGTGATCTGTGATGCTTCTATTTAGGCGAAGTAGAATTTCCTATATTCTGGAGAAAACTCAAGTAGGTTTTGTTTTATTTTGCCTGGTAAAAGGGCTGAGACTGGAATGAACTTCATAAAATATTGCTGCCTTCTTTCCAGAGCCAGTTTCTTTTCATCATGTAGTTTTCTGGTTCTGTGATGGTTAATTTTTTTTATTACTTTTTTTCCCCTCCCTTTTGCGTAGGGAGGGGATATATATTTGAAGACAGGAACCAAAAGATATGACCTGGACTCATTTTCTCAGTGAAACGTCTGTAACAGATGCTACGCAGTATCTTACAGTGCTCTTAGAAGTTGCCCACCATTGCGGTAATTAGGATAATTTGCAGGAGTTAATTTGTTTTTCATTAATTTAGTGATAGTTATGGAATTCATATGGGTTCTTGAAGCGATGGATTAAAATCTGTCTTTCAGCTGTATTAATAAAATGATTAAGAGGTCCAACAACTCGAACTGTTGGTACTTTGCTATAGCAGTATGGATCAAGACTCGTCCAAATGCAGGAATTGTGTGAAGTTCCAGTAAGGTGCAGCCCAAAAATTCTAAACAAATTCATTTTTGAAACTTTTGCTAGACTTTGCATTAATTTTCTGATTGAGACTAGGAGGTAGAAAGAGTAAATTGATTAAAGATTGATAAAAGATTAGAGAGAGGTTTTAGAGCATCTTACAAAACGAAAGCTGAGAAGTAAAGCTTTTACTCCTTTTACTTTTTGAGTTCATGAGATACAATCTTACATTTCCTGTCCTACTTCTATTTGTCTTAGAATATTTGAGCAATCACACTTCATCGTAAGTGTTCACGATTAGTTCATGATTCAAATTTGAATATAGGTAACTTATAGAAACCTTGTCAGAACTTCAGAACTTTTGTACTCTCAGTGCTGAGGACGCTTTCCACTCCTGTATCTCTAGGACCTGCAGAGTCTTCAGTATTTCTTTATATCATTAAACAGGCTTCTTAAATGGGAATAGATGTTCATGCAGTTATGGTGTTGGCTGGAAGAAGCAGATAGGAAATTTAGGTTAGATACTGTCAGTCTTCTTACTATAAGTCAAGGGTAACTAATTTAAGTGTTCCCAAAGCAACTTGTCTCTGAGTTGTGTGCTCTCTCTCTCGTGCTCTTGCTCACTTGTCATTGAAATCTTCGTTTTCTCAAAGAATTTCAAGTGGAGTCAGCCACCATTTGGGATGTTTAGTTGTGACGTGGATTAGTGCAGCTGTTCGAATTGACTGTACTGGTATAGGTTGGTTTTCAGTGAGAATCTAATTTAGGAATTGATGCCTGATTTTCATCAGTCTTAAGGAAATTGAAGTCTTTGTGCTTTACTACAGATGCTCCTATCACTTTATTTATTTTTACACCATGCTAAAATACATCGAGTTACCTGCGTTTAAGTAAACTGTAGTTAGACTTAGTTTGTAGGGATGTTGCATCTTATATTTGGCTTAAAAGAACACTCAGCTTTGGACAGTGATGCTATTTGGCCAGCTGTCTGAGCTTAAGGAATGGGAAGGAGATTAATTCTTAACATTGGAAAACATTTAATATTTGCTCCCCTTTATTTTAAATTTAAGTAGCTATTTTGTCCTTCTGTAACAGGGCCCTTTTCCTCAAATTAATTTCAACATTTATATATGAAAATCTTACTTGGTTTTGTCGGGGTGGGGGGGAGAAGCACTTTTGCTGAAATACATTCTTTAAACGTTCATGGTACTAATGTTTATATAATTATATAATGTGTTATATTTTGGCATTAATATTCTAAAAATCGTAAACTATTTTCTTTTCCAGAGCCTCATTTATGACCAAGACTGTACAGTATCAAAATGAGCTGCATAAATTCCTAATTTGGGATACAGCTGGACAGGAACGGGTGAGTAGAGTTTTACACATATCTTTAATCACATGTTTTCATCAGACCTGTGGTGGTGGTTCTGGTAGAGTTTGGGGTGCTTTTCAACCCCACCCCTGAAAGTTGCGAAGTGATCTGGTTTTATGAACTTCTATTAGAATATTAGTTTCTGTGCGGGTTTCTGTCAAGATACGGGTGATGTAAATATATTTTCCGTTATTGGTATTAGAGCTGAAGAGTGGAGTTAAGGATGATTACCTAAGAGTAGCACAGAAAACAAAAGATTAGGATTATTTTCATTGAAAGTAAGTGGTGTATGAGAGAAAACAAGGGAGGGCAAAAAGCCAGCACCTGTCTCTGGTACCATTTTTATTTGAGTTTTAAACACTCACTGTGACTGCTAACCCGAGCATCAGAGTGAAACAAATGTTCTTGTTTCATTGTATAGGTAAGGCTATTTTTCCCAATTCTGGAAAAATACACAACTGCTAACACATTCTGATAGCTTAAATGTTCAGCTTATTAAGGTTAAGCACCTTATTAAGGTGCTACTAAGGTTTTTAATTTGTTTGTAGTATGTGGGTTTAGGTGATCAAAAATTGTTTCAAGCAATATTTTGGATGAGAACTGATCTTCTATTACTTTATGGAGTTATCTGCCCAAATCTGGTGGTGTTAAAAATTACGTCAAGAAATCTATTTTGAAATTCACATTTTAATTAGATAGCTTGAGGCTTTGATATCTGCAGTGTGCAGAGGGCCAAATGCAGCATGCATTCTGAGCAGAGGTAATAAAAACATTCAAGAAACTGACTAGTCAAATGAAATCACAGTTAATTACTTTGCATCAGTTTTACTTAGGGAAAGGAAAGGTTTGCTAGTTAACTTGTTTGTTTCTGGTCTTCCAGTAACAATGACAGAAATGAACCTCTTTAACAGCGCTTATTCTTGCAGTTCAAATTCTTGACTGTTAGCTACTGGCAACTGTCAGTTACCTATGAGTTTACTCAGGATATGTGCTAACTGTAACAAAGATAGATACTACAGTGCTCCCTGTGAAGTGTCAGTTTGATCAGGTTGAGTTATTTTAAAACCATAACTGGCAAATGCAACTATAGTATATTCAGGATTGGCTCAAGAAAAAAAAAAGGGAAAATACCGTAAAGGCTCAGCCAACCTCGTGCAGTCACTCAAACTCTTGGAAGTCCTGGTGGAACTGACTTGGTGGCTTTTTAATGTGCTAACAGCCTTCATGGCTAGAAAAGTTACTCAAGTATATTTGTGTTGCATTCAGCGTTCTAGATTCTGAATGACTACTTAGTTCTTCCCAGCAGCGTGATATAAGGCAAACGTAGGTCACTGGGGATGTGTCCCAGGGATATGTCCTATTTATGTAGGTTATCAGAAATATCCCAGCCCTTCCATTACCAGAGTTCAGTCGGCATTTGCTGTCAACAGTTAAGTGAACATCATAGTTCATTCTGAAATGTTAATGCTCGAATCAGGCTTCTGAGGGGCAGAGCATGACTTAAGAGGCTGGTACTCTTAAACAGAAAGCTTTACAAACGTGCCTGCAACAACTTGGCAGGAAATATCTATTACGTAGTAGCATTCCATCCTGTTCACTTTAACTGTGTTTGCAGGCAGAGAACGCCCTAATTTGGATTCAGCATGCTACAATCTGAGGAAGTGTATCTGTACATGACTAGCACATTCCCTGTCTGTTTTTAGACTGTGACATCTTTATATTTTCTTCCGTTCAAGTTGCATGTTATGCTTGTGAAAGTCAGAAAAGATGACTTACCTGGCCCCTGACCTTTAGAGATATCTGTGATATCTCTAAAGCTTGTTCCACACAGGAAGTCATCACTGTGGGACCCAATATATCCGAGGAAATCAGCAAATAGGGAGCAAGAATATTTTCTTTGATAGTGTGTCAGTGTCTTCATAGAAACGTTCTCTCCAAAACCAAGCTGACGCCCTCTCTTACTGCTGGTTACAATTGGTCCATATGCATGCCTTGTGCTGAACTCTGCAGTGCTGTTTACTAGTAAGCAATATGTCTGGCAGGGCGTTTGGAAGGGATCCCATCTGCGGTGGTCTGGAAGACCAAAAACGCCCAAACTGTTCTTGGGATTATGATTTCTCTTACGAGCTATGATAGTAACAAACACAATTCTTGGTCTTTTTGAGGAACATTTACTATCTTCTACTTCTAAAGCCCATCAGCAAATGGGTCTAGGTTATACTAGGCAACCTCGTGTTCGAAATGGCTTCAGGAAGTGACAAACCAGCCTCACTCCAAAGGTAGAAATGTGTGCTAATTCACTTCACACAGCTGCGTGTCTTATTTGTTCTCTCATTTCTTCTGCACTATATAAAGTTGGGAGAAGATTACTTACAGCAGCTAGGATTTCTGCATTCATACCTAAGAATTGTGAAAAGTTGTCTGGATAATTACATTGTTAATAATTCTGTCAAAATGCCAATCAAGAAACAGGAGGGCAAGCTGAAGTCTTAGAAAAAGCAGCAAAACAAAAAATTAGTGTTTCTGGTGACATGTGTTTTGTTAATGTATTTTACCTACTGACTGCTCTTAGGTGGAAAAAAAAAAAAAAACGTATCTAAGTGTTAGGCAGGAAATGAGAGTAATACCAAATCAGCAAGTGAAAGTTGGTTTATTCCCAATGTAAATAGTCAAATAATCAAAAAGCCAGGTTGCAAGGAGTCCAAGTAGTGGTTTACCAAATATGCTTCCCTTTGCATTTTAGTATTTATATGGAGGAGAGGGATTATGCCCCAGTGTGAACTGAATGCCTGCCCGTGTTTCCCTTTCTCACTATTAAATATTTTCATATTCTGAACTTTGTGTTCAAAACCCCGTTTTCAACACAGAATTTGAGATCAAAATGTAAATGGTCTGGAATTTGCCTTTATACCAAAACTTTTATGATTCATAATATTGCTCTCAGTTGCACTGTATTAAGCAAAAGGAAATTTGCTTGGTACTAATAAAATACCAGCCTTCCTGGAAATCTGTATTCTACTCATGGTTTTTACTATGAGTAGCAAGATGCATGAAAGATCAAAGTCCCACATGCTTTCATCAAAACAGCACATGTATCATACTCTCTGCTTCAGCTGAGAGTTTAGTTTGCTGGACCAGTTGTGTGGTGCTTTTTCAATTAGAACATCATATTGTTATTTTGTTAAGAAATTTTTAATAATATTTCAGATGTGACTTCAGTTGTGTTCTCTCCCCCCCCCCCCCCCCCCCCCCCCCCTTAATCCTGGATTCAAAACACTGTCTGTGCAAAGTTACAGCCCTGGTTTATACCCTGCAAACTCACTACCAACCAAATATTCCTGTTACAGGTTTAATTTTGAATATTGCAGTAAAATTACTGTAGGCTTTTATTATCCAACATGTTTCTTAAAGCTCTATTTGCAATGGATCACATAGCTTTGGACTTATTCATATTTATTTTTTTTTAAGATATAAACATCCTTCAAATTTTTGAGCTTTGAGAAAAAACTTGAGCAAAACCCCTAATGCTATAAATTAGATCAGGGAGAAAACAGCATTTTTAGCATTAAATGAATGGGGTGAGTTACTCATTTTTCAGTAGGGCTAGAGTTTGACACCAGCCTATGAACTTTTCAAATCAGCAATAATACATGCTAGTTTTCTTTAAACTACTTTTTGTCCAAAAACACCAGCAAGAAGAAACAAGTTCAGTTTTGACTTTTTTCCCCCTTGCTCAGTATTTGAAGTTGAGCATGTGTGCTGCAGGTTTGTGTCTGTATTGCCAGCCTCTTAAATGAGAGATTTTAATCTAGTCAAAATAAGGTCAAGGTAAGCTGCGTGCTTTTTTTACCATGGGTGTGCAGCTGATTCCTAGACTGTTTATTGTTTGGCCTGTGTAAAATGATATTTTCATGGAAGTTTATGTAGTCTGCTGTGTGGGCTCTCTGCAAAGAAAAGTTTTCCCCTTATGTTACATGTAAAGCTAGTTATGTCTTACTGTACTGTTAAATAAGGAAGCTGTGGAGGTCAGTGAAAATGAGATTCATGATGTATGGTCTCTTTCTTTCAGTTTCGTGCTTTAGCCCCAATGTACTACAGAGGGTCAGCAGCAGCCATTATAGTTTATGACATCACAAAAGAGGTAAGAAATTGGACTTTGACTCAGCATTACAACTTCTGGTTATTGTGACATGGGCCAGTTCTGATTCTTATTTCCTTCTGTTCTTCTTCCACATCAGGAAACTTTCTCAACGTTAAAGAATTGGGTTAAAGAGCTTCGACAACATGGACCTCCAAACATTGTTGTAGCTATCGCGGGAAATAAGTGTGATCTTAATGATGTAAGGTAAATAACAATCTTCATTTCAGGAGATAAGCTCATAGACCTTTAATATGTTTCACCAGCTCTGAAATCTTAAGCAGTTAAATTTCAGCAGTTTTGCACTGTTTCGTGAAACTTGGAGTTTCACAAGGAGTCTGAGTTTTCTACTGCCAAAAGATTTGGTTAGTCTGCCTTTGTTTTTCTTGCCCACTTCCTCCCCTTTGGTGCGAGTAAATGTGTGGTTGGGCAGCAAATCAGGCTGTAAAATGCATCCAGATTAAAACTAACCAATTAAAAAAAAAGGAAAACCTATCCAAGTGTATTTATCTTGTTCACGACATGATCACTTGCTAGCATGACAGAGGCGGGGTAGCAGGGTTAGGAACGAGCAGTTTATAGGGAGACGGGATTACCTTTTCTGGTGGCAGTGCCAAGTTATACAAGCTTAAACTGCCCGTGAAACTACAGTGTAATACAACTTGTTTACCTCATTTTGTAACAAGTACCTCTGTCAGTCTGTAGCACCTCATTCTGTTATGAAAAACATCGAGCCTGTTGGAAAGCATTGTGTAGGTTCTTCTGACTTGCTTGTTCAGGTGCCTACCCTTTCTGCTTAAATGCCAGGGTGGAATTGGCTGTGGTTGAAATGGTTGCAGGAAGTGGGGAAAACTCTTGAGAAACTTTATGGACAGCCAAAGTTTCAAGAAAGCATGTATTAAAAACAAAAGAAGCCCTTTTTTATTGATGTCCTGGTTAAATAAGCCAAAATTCAGAAAGGTGTGTGCAAACTTCTTGTTTTTAGATTTCATTGGAAAAGGTATCACTGTTGCTGTCCAGAGGCAACAGCATGGTTGGTTATGTTTGAAAAACCACTGCGAAGTTGGTTCTTAGTATGGTTTTACAAATCATTAGTATATTTTAGTAACCTAGTGAGCTCTAATAACTCTTCTCAGAAATAACATATCTCTTGGAGTAAATATGGCATAAAATTCCTTAGAATAAAATTTTAAGGCATGCAGTATTAAATCTCCCACTTGTGCTTACATCTTGGTACTTAAGTGGCATCATAAAGAATGTAAACATTGCTATTCAAGCTAATAGCCAAGATTCCCTGTACTACAGAGACAGTGTTTGTGTCATTGACCTAAAGTCTCTGCTTTTGTGTGTTTTGATGTCCTAAGCCTGTTATTACTGACAGGAGAGATGTGTTCTAGAAATGGTATGTAAAGCTGTGTGGGGTATAGTCATATAGCCTTCCCTTCAGCTGTTGGGTTTTGTTTTTTTTCCTGTTGTTTATGGAAACATTGCATTATCAACTTGCCTATCAACTTAAGGGTGGAAAATAGTTTTTTTCACTACTTGGCTGTGTTGTTGTTAGCACAGTCTAAATACATTTCTGTTCATAGCAAAGTCCTCATTGCTTCACATAAACTAAATGGTATACTAATAATCCATGCAGTGTTCAGAGAGATCTAGTTTGGGGAGCAGCGGTAGGAAATCCACTGGATTAGCGGAATGAAAACTTCAGGGTCTTTTCAGTGTCCCTAAAACTTGTGTGTGTGAAGAGCAAAGTACCCCCAATGACTGATTGCAGACCTGTGCTTAAAGCACTCAAGAAACAAACTCCATTGTAATGTCAGATGGATTGAGGTCATTTAGTTTGATTGTGCTTCAGTGGTGCTTGTACCTCTGGAAGAAAGCATACAGTAAAGAATGAGCATCAACTTCAGGAGGAGGGAGCGGGGTGATGAGAAATGGGTAATATGAAATACTTGCTAAGTGAGACACTTAAAAGCTTAATCTGTCCCTTAAAATTCTGAATCCTGTTTTTTTTTCTGCATTCAGTTTTTTCTTTCCTTTTTTTTTTTTTTTTAGAGAAGTCATGGAAAAAGATGCTAAAGACTATGCAGATTCCATTCATGCAATATTTGTAGAGACAAGTGCGAAAAATGCAATAAACATTAATGAACTCTTTATAGAAATTAGTAAGTATTTAAACAGGTAATGTTTTCTTCTGAAAGAAGTTCAAGTAGAAATTTAGTTACTGTAATTTTTTGGAGGTGCTATTTAGGTGTCCTAATAGTATGCTGATGTAAATGCTAACTGAGGTATGCAAATTTTTGGTCATCTAATGACCTCTAAAGATTCCTTGTAGGGATTTTAAGCCTACTGTGATGCTGCTGGACAAATAGCAAGCAGGGCACTGATGTCAGAAGTCAGTGTCATCTTACTATATCCGTTATTAAATGATTTAACTGGTACATCCAAGGTTATGGAAGGGACAGCAAATGGCATGAGAACTATCCAAACTTTATACAACTGAGAAAAAGAATTTGATTCTTGTTCTTAATGTTTCTGCTTAGTTTAGAACCGTGTGTTTTCAAAAACAGAAGAATTCAGAAGTGCTAGATTACTGCCTGGGAGATAGCAACTAGTGTGTGGATTTTCCACCAGTACTGTTGTGGTATCTTGTTTTTTTGTTTGTAAGATGTATTTCAAGCAGCAACATTAAGATGCAGATATATCAGTCTGCTTGTGAAATTAGAACCAACAGTCCATTTGTGTGTGCATGCACTATTATTTAACTTTGGGTAACTACAACAATGTTATATTTTAGGAAAAAAAAAGTTCTTGAAAGCAGATGAGTATATTGAAGCTGATGTCAAAAATATGCACTGTAGTTAAGCTTCATGGTTTACTGACTTTATATTTGCTCTCCATAATCTTAAAAAATGGCCTAGTTTAAACATTGAAAAAACATCTTAAATCTCTCAAAAAAGAATTCTCAGCCATAAATGGTCAACTTCAAACACTGATTAGATAACTGAAATAGCTACCTTTACAAGCACTTTAGTGTTAAGCCTGACACGGGTGATCTGCTGTGGAAATGCAAATCTAGATGATAGATCTCGACAAAGAGATTCCAGATGGTATTGCGTGCTGCAAAGTATATTCTCTGTGTGCTTCCATAACTTAGGTCTCTTAAGGCTGATTTAGCCTGAAGTGCAAAGTTAGCTTAAAGCTGCCTCTGCTCTTTTTTGTGGAACTGTACCTCTTACAGGCACTGTATAGACTGTTAACTGCCATCCTTCTGTTATGCGGGAATATTGTCATTAATAACATCTGACATAACATACATTGAATGCGTACAATTAGCTCCAAGTATAATGTTTGCAATAAATGTTATTTTCTGCCTCCTTATAGGTCGTAGAATTCCATCAACTGACACGAACCCCCCAACTAGTGGTAAGGGATTCAAACTTAGAAGACAGCCATCGGTGACAAAGCGCAGCTGCTGTTGACTGATCCATTAGAAAATCAGACTTGTTTATACAGTAGGTGGTCTTGGAAGTTAATAGTTCACGTTGGGTTTATATTATCAGTCTTAGATCTCTATCTGCTGGTGTTCATACGCCCAAGGTCCTACAAAAACGGACCAGTTCATCTGACATCTGTATGCTCGCAGAAAAGACTGCAATCATAATGTCAGCCTGTTTACTTACAAAAAGTGTAGTATCTCTTGTATTCAAAGGGAATCCATCATCAGTTTTGTGGCCTTGCTTAAAAGGAAGGTGACTATGGACGGTAGAACTGAAATGTTTAGTAGTTTTGTAATCAAGATTTTGTTTTTTTTGTAAAAAGGGAAATGAGCACTTTTGTGGGACTTGGGGGTGGGAGGAGTCTGTTGAACTTTGAAAGTTAGTCAGATGTCATTTCTTCCTTTTCTTCAGTGAGCCTTATTTGAGATTTAACTGTAGCTAATCCAAAGTATAGTGGGACAGTTGGTTTGAGGTGGCTACAGAATAAGCAACTGAAGACAGATAATAGGCAAATCAGTCCATCCACTCCCCAGAACCCATTTGCACTTTTTATTTAAAGATGATACACACCGGGGATGGGGACACAAACGAGAGGTCTTAAACCATGGACAATCTTTTTTTCCATGCTGACTTTAATCACTTTAAGGCAAACTGATATGCTTTATAGTCATCTTCTTGTTCTTAGAAGGTTTTTAATATTAAGATGTTGATTGAAGAAAACCTAGCTGTAGTTCTGACTAAATTAAGTGATTACTGACTAAAAACAGATGCTGTAAACAGATGCTGCCAATAGTTCTGGTAAGACTTAAAAGGCTGGGGGGGAAAGCTTTCAGTTGCTTAGCATGTGTAAAGTGTTCATATTATATTTAAGAGACCAGTGTTTAAAGTATTATAAATTATGTAAAAACATTTTTTTTTTAAATGCAATCTTATTCACTCCTTCCATTCCACACCTATGGATAAACTTCTGGGGTTATCTATTAGCTTGTTTTTTTTTTTTTCCAGCATTTTAGGTTATTGTCACTGTTGGTGACTTCATCCAGAGACAGGCTGAAATTCACTCTTTAAATCCCATTTGAAAGATCCAATTAATAGAGGCTGCTGTTGGTGCAATGTCAGGTCGGTCTGTTGAACAAGTTTTCATCTGTGATGCACCCAGTCTTTCCTCTTTTGGGCACAAAAGTACAAATAGGAAGTAACCTTAAGACATGTGGTAATGTAGATCATTACCTCTTGGTTCCTGGGCTTTTTCACCTGTGAGGACTTTTCTTTTTTTAAGTAAACCAGTGTTTAGCTTATATTGTGTTGGTTTTAGTATGTTCTCAATTAAACTATAGATTGACCATACCCTTTTGTGCTTTTTTATTTATTTTCGCTTTTTGTTTCCTACTAGCAGTAGTGAGGAACTTTATACTTTTGAAGAAAAAGATCATAAAATACTCAAGTATATACTACTGTGCTGTTAAGCTTTCCAATTGAAATGAGGTCATGGTGAGATATTTGTTCTCTATAATCTGGCTTTCTATCATCTCAAGTATTTTTTCTTAAGGAAATGGGAGAAAAGTTTTTAAAAAATGAAAGAATTTACGATTCAGATTAGTTTGTATTAATCAAAATTCTTGTAGAGCTCTTATGGAGCAGAACAGTTAAACTGTTAGGGTGAAATTTTAAATGGATCAGTATATTTTAATGAAATTTGACTACGTTTTTAAAATCATTGTACAGGCTTTATGCTTCATATATAAAATATTTCATTTATTAAATAATAAATCTGGAAATTTTCTTGAACTAGAAAATATGGTAAGAAAAGGAAAATACTAAATATCAGTAATATCTTCCATGCAGGTTAGTAGAACGAGTTTTTTGGACTTGCTAAATTATGTTTATTGCTTGTAGTATGGAATAAAAATGAAGTTTGTCTTCTTTTCCGTGAGATAATAAAAATCGTGTAATATTACCTATCCAATATTTATTAACTTGAGAAGAAATACTCAATTCTAGGCGGGACAGAGCTAGGTTAGTACTGAGATTATTGTAGCTGTCTCTAGTTATACTGCATCATGTACTATTACACCACTTTTATTATCTCACTGATCCTATATAGTATCTCTTAGGAAATCTTTGCAAAGTACATTCTAAGCTATTCCCATTTACTTGATGCATACCACAATTAGTCTTAAAACAAACAAAAAAACAAGCAGCAGCATCAACCTGGCTCTTCACCGATGTAGCTGAATCTTGATGCTTCAGACTCCTTTTGTGTGCGTGTTACTAACCTGGGTGGAATACAAGCATACTTCATAGCTTTTTTGCGCTCCTGATCTTGAATTACTCCAGTTAATGAAGTCATGGAAGTGACCAAGGTTTGCCCGAACTAGAAACATTGAAGTGAGACTGCTTTTTAAGACCATGCCTGTGGAAAATGACAGCCTGTAGATGTCAGTTCATTTGGGCCAAGATAACTTCTTGTTGATCAGTTGGCCTTAACCAAAAGTTGAAATGCAGTCTTGCCTGGATGAGATGTGTATGTTTGAGATCTCATTTTTGTTGGAGAAAAATGGTTTCTTCTGTACTAATAATTTTTTTAGGCCACCTGCTTTCGTTTTGCACTAGGCTTACTGGAATTGATTATATTTTTCCCTAACATAGCCTCTCTATTTGGAGAAAAATTAGCTTTTGAGTGTTTGAAGGATTGATTATCAACCATTCCAATAACCTTTTGAGTAACTTTGTTAAGAAGTTACTGAAAGAAGCTTGGGACTTGAGTTTTATTCTGCTACACCTTTCTTTTTCATGAATTGTGATCATCATAGAGACTAGGTTTTAAAATAATCTGAAAGGGAATTGATGGCTTAAAAAAAATAGTTGAGAGGGACAAGTGTCAAATTTGTAAAAAGATAATGAGGTGCATGTCATAAAATTGATTTAGAGCATTTTTAAATTGACAAAATGCTACTTTTTCCACCTCTATACGATGCCAACTCTTTCCTACAAAAGTGTAGATGTCTATAAAAATTGTACTTGACAAATGGCTTGTTCCTAAGCTTTGGAGTTACTTAAATGTGCTGCCCAAGTTTTGGAGGGTGTCTTCATCATTCCCTATAAATTATAAGCTTCTTAAATGGCTTGCTATGCTATATGGGTAGCTTTGTAGCATATTTTAGATACATGCTGGAAACCGGCATGCTAAATGCCTAGATAGGTGAGTTGGGGAAGCTTCTGTGTAACGAAATACAAAGGCATTTAATGGCCAAACTACTGAAAATCGTAATAGGTGCTTTGAAAAGTTCTAAGAGACTTCCAACAACTTTTGCTGTTTCCAGAAGGGTAAAGACTGTATATTATTAGATCCATGTTGAAACAAAAATCATTGCACTTTAAATTCCTACTGGTATCAGTGAGACCTTTCCTTTAAGTGCCACAGTATCAGACAGCTAACAGTTCAGAGGGGTGTTCAATGCAGACTTGTCTTTGATATGTTTGTGTATACATAGTACCAATTTAAAGCTACCGGCATGCTCAGGAAAGAATACTTACATGCCTGGGAAGAGAATAAGAGGAGAGGCAACCATGCCTACTTACTGATCCTGAATTCTGTTCCTTTAACCTGGTCGAGAGATGTGAGATTCATTGGGAATTGTTTTCATTCATGGTCAAAGCTTCATTTTAGAGATCAAAAAATAATCCATTTTCAATATCTTGAATGGTTTAAAAAAATTGGCCTTGACAAGCTTTTTCTTATGATGCTAATCCTAAATTGTTCCTTAACATTAGTGTTCATTTCCAATACAACATATTGAGTATTAGTTGGAAAAGAAAACTTTATTAGTGATGATTGAATGACGTTCTTGTGAAACTCTTTAGTGTTTATTAAGGATGAGGCAGTCTATTTGTGGCATGCTATGTCAGCAGTCTGCAAAGACTATCTTGGGAATTGATGATTTACAGGACAGAAGCTGTATAAACTGTGTGGCTAGTCACCCTGTAGGGAGCCTCGCTTATAAGCAGCAATAACTGCATAAAAGTGGAAAAATATCTCAAGCATGGGGAGACTCTGAATATACAACCGACATCAATTTCTACACTGCCTATTCAGTATTTTCTAAAATACTTAGGATATCTTTCTTAAACACTTCAAATCTCTAAAAAGAGGCTCATCTTCCCATGGACAAGAGACAGGGATAAACTTTTTTAACTTCGCGGGAAGTTGTTTTACAATGACCCAAGACTGTGTTTGTATGTGATGAGTCAGTTTCTCAAAGCATGAGAATTATGTGTGTGGAAGTAAGGTTTTCAAAGATCTGCATAATGTTCTTCAGAGATAACTCGTAACGTCTGAACCTCTCTCAACAATTTACCAAAGGTCTTGGTAGTCTAGGGTGTTCCCTGCTGTCTGGAAGCTGGCCAGTGTTTTACCCATCTACGAGAAGGGCACTAGAGAGGACCCAGGAAGTTACAGACAAGTCAGTCTAACCTCAGTCCCAGGAAAAGTTATGGAGAAGATTATCTTGAGTGCTGCTGAAAGGTAATTAAAGAACAAAACTTTGATCAGGTGTAGTCAGCATGGATTCATGAAGGAAAGGTCCTACCTTAGTCATTTGATCTCCTTCAGTGACAAGGTCAACCACTTAATGGATGAAGGGAAGGCAGTGCATGCAGTCTTTCTGGATTTTAATAATGTCTTTGATACTGTCCCTCAGAATATCCTGGAGAGATTGTCCAGCTGAGTTAAACAGGTTCACACTGCGCTGGGTGATGAACTGGCTTGACAGTAGAGCTCAAAAGGTAGTAAATGGGGCTGTGTCTGCTTGGTGGCAAGTCCCTAGCAGTGTTTCCCAAGGCTCAATTGTAGGGCCAGTTATGTTCAACATTTTTATCAGTGATCTGGGTGCAGGAGTGGAATGCATCCTGGGCAAGTTTGCTGATGACACTAAACTGGGAGGTGCTGTTGACTCCCTGGAGGGATGAGAGGCCTTGCAGAGGGATCTAGGCAGATTGGAGCAATGGACAATCATCAGTGCCAAGTTTGACAAGGGTAAATGCTGGGCTGCACTGGGATGGAGTAATTCTGGACACGGGTACAGCCTGGGAGATGAGTGGCTGGAGAATGGCTCTGCAGAAAGGGCCCCAGGGGTACTGGTGACAGCAGGCGCAACACAAGCCAGCAGTGTGCCCTGGCAGCCAAAAGGGCAAACCATATTTTGGGGTCCATTAAACACAGCATAGCCAGCCAGTCAGAAGAGGTGATTCTCCACTGTATTTTGCACTGGTGCAGCCTCTCCTTGAATATCACGTGCAGTTCTGTGCCCACAACATAGAAATGATGTTAAGATACTTGAATGCATCCAGAGGAAAACAACAAAGCTGATGGTAAATGGGCTGGGAGGCGTGTCCTGCGAGTAGAGGCTGAGGACACTTGGGTTGTCTAGTTTGGAGAAGAGAAGGCCAAGAGGTGACCTTACAAAAGGTCACCTCTTTGTGCTCTACAAATCCTGGGGAGGGGAAGCAGGGAGAGAGGTGCTGGTCTCTGCTCCCTGATAACTGACAGTGGAATGTGAGGGAACAGCACAAAGCTGTGCCAGGGAGGTTCTGGGAGCGTGGTCAAACGCTGCAGCAGGCTTTCTAGGGAGGTGGCTGATGCCTCGTGCTTGTTGGTGTTCAGGGGGCTTTGGGATAATGCCACCCATAATATGCTTTAGCTTCTGGTTATCCCTGGGGTGGCCAGGCAGTTGGACTAGATCAGCTTTGTAGGTCCCTTCCAACTGAACTATTCTATGCTCACATTGCATCTCTACTTGTAGATCATACCCATACTAATGTTTGGCAACAGAAGACTTATTATTCCAGGTGTGAATTACCAATCTAAGATTAAAAAAAAAAAAAAGAAAAGAAAGAAGTTTAATATAAGATTTGTCAGCTGACCTTTTCAGAGTTGTATGGCTCCAGCCTGTCAAAAGAAATAAGCTTGAAACTGCATCTTTGTTTCTCGTATGAGAATTCAAGTGCCAAAACATATTTCTCTCTAATTGTTAGGCCTTCTGACACCAATGCTTGTTTAAAAAAAATTATATATATCACTTTCTGGACTTTTGAATGCAAACTTTAAAGTCAGATAGGATCAAAAACACTCGATGTGCAAAAGCTGAACAAGCATCACCAAACTTTATCCATGAAGTGTCACAGATTTTAAAAAATTAAAAAGTCATTCAAGGCCTATAAGACTATCCTGCAACCCGAGAATATTTATGGGTTTCCTCTGACATGTCAAAGGAATTCTAGGCTCAACTTTTTCTTCCCTCCCCTCTCAATTCCCCCCCACCCAAGCCTGAATTTTTAAGTACTGTGAGTGTGCGTGCTATAAAGAGCTATTTAAAAATGCTTACAAAAGTTCTAGTGGCTTAGAGTTATTTGATGCTTCCTATTTCACATGGGAAATCAAGGCACTAGGATGAATGTGTCCCGTTAAAAATCAGTAGAGTGTTTGCTGAAATTGTTCTAATTCTAGAATAGAGAATTTCTAGAAGAAAGAATTTTGTTTTTCCCATTGCATCATACTGCAAGTTGGAAGTTGGGGGGGGAGGAGGGTTAATTTTTTGCTTAAACACTAACAATTTTATTCAAGGAGGTTGGGTTTTCTTTGTTTCATTCATGTTAATATTTTCACATGCTTTGTTGAACAAACCAACTGCTACTCCTTTTCTGATTTTGAAGGATACAGACAACCTTTTCTGTCATTCTCTTCATTTGTGTGGGTGTAACATTCCATCCAGTTGTTGCAGTCCAGTTCAGATCCACTGTTACTTTCTTGCCTTACTTTTACTCACGTTGTAGTATGTATTTCCTATTATTAAATCCATTCTCTTTTCTTGAGAATTTATTCTTTGTTTCCTTATGGGATCTAGCCAAGAAAAGGTGGCAAGTGTCTTTTTTTCTCCTTAAAGGTTCAAGAAGTATCTGTCACAGCAGCAACTATTTTTTAACAAAGTGGTAATTCATTAGTACAGCTTTATGAAATTAAGAAATCATAGCAGCTGAGACACATACCGCTATTTTATTACATCAGATAGGAGGCTAAAAGCACGTTCACCTGAAGGAAGTAAATTATAGTAAAGCCCTAATAACATAATTAGAACTCTTCTGTATTTTAACTTCTGTACTTCCCATTTCTGAATACAGTGCATCCAGCATTGAAATTGTGGCAGAATGAATTGATATGAAACATGAATGGATCATATTTCTGTAGCTGTAGGACACTTAAGACTTCTTGGCAATTCTCTCCCTTGTGTTTCTTGGCCCCCAGTCCAATGAAGAAAAAAGGAAATAATTCTGAAGGTTAAAAAACAAAAACTTTGCATTTGCATTTGTGTATTCAGGGCACAAAAATAACCTGATATGCATATAGCTCTTACAGTGTACTAAATGTATGCCTGTAAAATTAAGCGTGAAGGTTAACCTTTGTGTCAGCAGTTCTTGTCCCTCCTGAGAATGTTCTGTCTTTTCGTTATAGTACTGGGTTAACCTGTTAAAAAAAAAAAAAAAAAAGATTGAAAGGTCTGTGCCTTCTTATTATAATATCTCTTATTAAGACAAACTAAAGCCGCTCAAAGTTACAGAGCATTTGCAGCACTGTAAACTGCACAAATTTACAACCATTGCTTCACTGCATGAAATGTAGTCAGATTGCGAGTGATGAAATATAGTGATGAATTCTCAAGCTTATGAATGTTTTTGAGACTTTTATAGTCTTCTCTTGGGCTGGTCCCGAGGGTGTGTACAGGTTTGTCTGTATTGTTGGTTTGTAGATGCTAATGAGGAAAACCAGACTTTTGTTCTCTCCTTTTTGTTTGTATTGTTACACTCCCATATAGTGCATAGACTGAAAATAAAGAAATGTTGGTTTGGCATAATGTAAACAGCATTTTCAGCTTAAGCATTCATAATAAACTTTTATAGTGTAATAACATGCTAAATCACTACCAGTCCGATGTATTGTGCAAAAAAAAGGTGTAAACATTTTATTAATAAAAAGCTTTGTTTATAAACCTGCTGGCCTTGTTTATAAGTGGTTCCAAAATTCTCAACATCATCAAAAGTAGTCTCTATAGTAATAGAGTTCCAGAAGAGGAATGCTAAGCAATACACAGTAGAAGTGAATCTAAGTGACAGTTCAAATATCTGTTTTCTAAAAGCAGTGACTGCTGGTCATTCAGAAACTGAAGCTTTTCCATGGCGTAAGTATACACAGACAGACAACAGACAAACTTGTACAAAAAAAGGATGGGGAGAAACAGTACGGAGAATGCAGCTTTTGTCTTACACTTCCTTTCTTTGCAGCATGATGTCTGAGAAACTGCAGGCCACACACAGTCTCGTCAGCCAGTGCAAGGCCTGACAAGTTCTACTGCGGTCACGTTATTTAATACATTGCATTTATCTTAGTCTGTATCAAAAATTGAATTCTTAACTGCTTAAGCCAGGTTTCTGTCAATCAAAACTGTAAAGTGCTTTTAATATCTGTATGGTGTTGTGGGGGGTGCCGTGCAAGAAGGGATCTTTTCTCATTTGCTAGTACAGCTAGCTGCTTGGCTGCTTTTTTTTTCCCCCTCTTAGAAACTGCTTTGGTTATGTACAGCACAAAAAAAAATATAGACTTGGCTAAAGTTTTCTCACTTGGATGATGTTTAAGATGTAGTTTTTGTGTTCAAATGTGTGATGCAAGTTAACATGTTTAGCTAACAGCAGCCTTTAAAAGCATAAATAAGAGAAGAAAAAGAATCCTGTTTCTAATATTTTTCTCCTGAATATTTTTCTCACCTGAAAATCCTGTACCCAGGTTTCTACTAAGCAGCTGGCTACAGTTCACATGCAAAAATAAACAGTAAGATCTCTTTAACACAGACTTGGAATAATGTAAATTTATTGTTTGGTGTCTGCTATTTTTAGGTTGTCCTTTCAGATGTGTATTAGCTGCTTTGAAGAGTGTCAAATGTATTTGTGTAAAGGGTACAAGTGTGCTTTGGAGAGTGTATAAGCAGGGTAAACACAAGGAATGTGCTAGAATAGAGAGGGATACATTTACATGTTTGTATAGGGAAACTGGATGCAAACCATGTCATTTGCATGCACGCAATATGAAGGAATAATATTTTTCATGGATAGAGACTTTCATAGCTTTTAAGGTGAAAGTTTTGTACCAAGTATTCATTCAAGTTGTTCCAGTACAAAGCTTTCACATGCTCTTCAGGTTTTCCCAGTAGCATTCATCACTATTTTCTCCTATTATTCAAAAATGCACCTTGGCAACAAGTTTTCTTCTAGCCTTAGTGTGGCTGAAATTGTTAACAAAGTGAGGGTTGTTTTATGTAACTGATAGCAATGTAGTATTGCAGGTGACCTTGATGCATGTCCATTGCAATTAATCTGATCTGAACAATACTGACTGTATGCACATTTATGTATAAGTAAAAAAGGCAAACTACATTCATAAGACTTAATAAGTTTTCAACTTTGAGTAAAAACTGCCGTGCTCTATATGAATTTCAGCATGGATGAAAATGTAGGGGAGTCCTCCACATCCAAGCAGGTAAGTTCAGAGCTGCCAGCTGCAATCTACTTTTGCAAGATGATGCCGACTTGGCAAACCCTTTATGCTGTGGCTCATCAAACACTTAAGGTTGTACTTTGTACTTCTTTCAGAAAAAGCAGCATGTGGAAAGGTCTGGGCAGCAATTCTGAAGAGTTGTTTACTTTAGGGACTTTTATTATGTATGACTATATGTTGTATAATGTTTCCTTTGTCTTATTCCTCATTAGTTTCCAATTAACTTGCAGATGTATATAAAGCTTATCATTTTCTACCAATTAATTGGAATGTTTATGGACAGCCGTGTTTTATAGCTTAATGAGAGAATCTGTTTATAGAAAAAAATAGATTATGTGAAAGAAGACAATGTTTCCAGAATATCAGCCAAAGAAAGCTCTACTGCAAGTCGTAAGTGAACTGAATTACCTCCTGATTTGAAATCTAATAAAATGTTATGACATAATCTGTAGTTTATAGTATAAATTAAACCCCCACAAATAGCAAAAATAATAAGCTAGTGACATCCTAGGCTCCAAATCCAATTAACAGTAGAATAGCAGAGACCTGGAAAAAAAAAAAAAGCATGCCTTTATGACATTGTGACCATCTTTTCTTTCAACAGAAGGAAGGAGAAGGAAGTTAAGGAAGAACAGCAGTACATTATTCGAGCATGTTGCTATACATTGCTGAAGCTTTTAACTAGTCCTGATGTATTGGGTAGAAAGTATTGCCAAGTTTCACTACAAAACTCAGAGTTGTACTAAATATTTATATGGGTTTATGTTGTTTTGGCATGGAACGAAAACAGTGATGGAACAAAAACAAAAGGTGAAACATGATGGGAGATGGTTAAATGAACTAATTGAAAAAAAGGAATTATCGTGGACAAGAGCAGCTGGTGTTGAGACTTGGTACAAATACTGCAGATGTGCTTTTGCAGGCTTCTTTACAGCACTGAATGTCATCATCCATTTAGTGCTGTTAATTTGAACATACACATCACTCGTTTGCTATTGCTTTTATTGCCAGCAACACAGCAACCCTTTTATTCCAGCTATTTTTAGTCATTTTTATACGTTTTTGGCAATTACAAAGTAAAACAATATTCATAATAACATTCACGATACAAAGAACCTGTGGGCATGTGAGGTACCATGTGTATCACAGAGCTTGTAGTCATGTGGTAACATGAATTTTTACATTAATGTTTTATTACTATATTTTTATCAATCTCTTACGTGTTAGCCAGTCATCCCTCATTAGGACTTGCTCTAACATAACTGGAATTCTTTGAAAGTTTTTCTCTGTTAATAGGACTGCTTTTATCCTTGAAACCATGGTATCTCCTCCCCCTGTCCTACCCATCTGAAGTCCAAGAAAAGAATTTGTATACACAAAAACTTGTTTATTAATTATACATAAGCTAAACTTTAGGACCCCAACCCTTGGCACATTTCTTCTGGTAACAGGGACACCCCAATCTCTTGCTTTGTTGTTACAGCCCCCTTGATTTGATGTGTCAGTAATGTTTTATGAATTCTTATGAAGTTTTAGATTGTAGAAAACTAGGGGAGGGGACAGGTGAATGATTATGTAGTGCTGTTACAACTGTTATGGCCTAAGGTCAGCAGAAGAGTGGCACTTCACGTTAAGTAGACAAATCTGTAAACTGAAAAATATTTCAAGACGTGGAGAAAAAAGGAAAAAAGCTTCCGTTAGCCTGTACGTAGGGGGATCCTTCAACCCCCCGAGCTGCCCTGAACGCGTCTTTATCCACTAAAAACCCCGTGGCTGGAGGCCAGCCCCGCAGCGCCCTGTCCTTACCCGGGGGTCGGGGCCCGGCCCGGAGCCGCCCCTGTGCGGGGCCTCGGGGGGCTCCCGGCTCCGGGCTCCCCTCCCCGGGCTCGGCCCCCGCGGCAGGAGGCGGGCGGGCGGCAGACGTCAGCCGCAGCCTCTCCCTGGGCCGCTCCGTGCTGCATCATCCCCGCCTCCCCCCCGGCCCTCCCGGCCTCTCCCCGCGTCCCCGTCAGCCCACCGGGAGCCGCCGCTGCCCGCCCGGACCTGGCTCCGGCTCCGGCTCCGGCTCGGCTCGGCTCGGCCCCGCTCGGGGGCGCTGAATAAAGCCTCGGGGCCCGCCCGCTGCCGGCCCTCCCTTCCCGTTCCCCTCCCTTCTTCCCTCCCTTCCTCTCTCCGCCTGGTGCCGCCACCGCCGAGGAGGAGGAAGAGGAGGAGGAACATGGCGAAAGCGGAGCAGGTCCTCAGCCTCGAACCGCAGCACGAGCTCAAATTCAAAGGTACGGGGCCCGCCGCCCTCCCGCCCGCCGCCGCCTTCCCCACAGCCCGGCCCCGCTCCGGCGGCAGCCATTTTCCGTAGGGCCGGGGCCGGGCGCCCGCTGCCAAAATGTCCTTCAGCGCCGCGGCTTTCCCCGTCCCCCTCCTCCTCCTCCTCCTCCTCCTCCTTCCTCCCCGTTCCCACTCCCCCGGCTCCTCTCCCGCAGCCCCCGGCCCCGGGGGGCCGCAGCGCGGTGCGGGGGGGGGTCCCGGGCCCGGCCCCGCCATGGCCGCGCTGCGGGGCTGAGGAGAAGAAGCCGGGAGGGAGCCGGGGAAGCGCCCGTTGTGCCCCCGGGAGGGGGAAGGACGGAGCCGGGGCCTCGGGGAAGGGAGATGCGCTGCGGGCTGAGGCGGGGGCAGGCGCTCCCCGAGGAGCCGGGGCACCCCCGGGTGTGTGCGGCGGGGCTCGGCCGGGCTGCGGGAAACCCTGAGCCCCCCCGGCTCCATCCCTGGTGGCCTCTCGTGGCGTGGTTTTTTTTTTTCCTTTTATCCTCGTTACCATAACGCTGCGAGGCGTTCAGACGCATTCCTTGCGAATATTCCTCCTGCCCCCAACCCCGTCTTTCCCGCAAGCCCAGCACTTGAATGGGTTGGAGCTGGCGTTGAGATTCCAGCGTTGTGACCTGAGGGATAGCGCTGCTGTAATGCAATATTCGGGGATTACAAATAAGCATTCGGCAAGTTTATTTATGCTGCAGGAGTCAGAGGTGCTGTAGAGCTTCAGATGAATATCTGGCAAATCTTCCTTTTTTAAAAATAGCGACCTATTTGCTGGCATCTGGTAAAATTACTGCTTACTCAAAAGCAGTATAACACTTTTACATATAACATTTCATATAACATTTCATATAGCATTTTTACACCTAGGAGAAGTCTCTGCCTGTATTTAGTAGTTAATATTTCAATATAAACTATTAGTATAAACTGGGCTTACCAAAAGGCACAGTAATAAATCCTGGCTGGACTGAATGTGTCTTTGTTGCAGGCTGAAGTCTTTGCATGTTGTTATGGCAGCAGAATCAAACATGCTTAAGAAGCAAACTGCTCTAATATTGTTTATGTTAAGGGCTGATGTTCATCTAATTATGCTTGTTGTGAATGTCAGTAACGTTACTTCATCAAGGAAGCTGAGGCGGGCAAGAAGCGGGGCCTTAATTGGTACAGACTTGCCAGGGGCACCTAATTGTGGTTTGGGGCATTTTCTTATCACTTGGTTGCAAGCAGGTATAAAACTAGCCAAAAACTGTGGGGTGGCGTTGTTGTTGTTGGGGTAAAGCTAACTAGTCAGGCTGCCTGGCGCTCAGTGGAGGATCTGGGACTGCTGAAGTTAAATTCACCAACCATGGAGGTTTTCTTTGTCAAATCTTTAGCCAGCATCGTACGCTTCTTATAATGTACAATGTTGCTTGACTAGCTGCAGCTAATCTATGGCTTAGTTTAAAAGTATGCTTAAATATTAATGTTGGAATAGGCCTAATGCTATGGATAGCCTTCATATGCCTTGGCAATAAATCCTGTCTTACAGCCCTTCCTGACAGGCAGTGCTGACCACCGGCCTTCATTCAGGAAAGGCCAGTTTGAAGTATTCATGAAGTCAATTCCGCTCTAAGCGATTCTCGTCCTGTTGTTGTGATGGCCTGCTGCCTGCTAACGTGGCAGCAACGGTTCTCTCGCCTCTGTAAACAGTTGCATTTCTGTGCAGAGCATTGCTGTGCTCAGCGCGTGCGGATGCGGACTGCCAGGTGCCAGCAGCGCTGCCGACCGGTGCAGCTCCGCTTCCTCGCTGGTGTGCCCAAAAGATTCGACGCTTTAGGGCGGCAGCAGCAGCGAGGTGGGATCCTAAACCGAGTTTCACAAACGCTGGAAATGGATAGAGGTCTCTGTCAAGATGCACACGGGTAGAAAATGCAGAAAATAATCGGCTGTGCTGTTGTCACGCTGCTCTGTTTGATTCTTAAATATAAAATCTAGAGGGAGGTGTGACATTTATGAAAGGAGGCAGGAACAAGATACCGAAGTGAGGATTCATTCTGTGTGTCCCAGTGTGTGGGATTGCAGCAGTCTCTGTTAGCCACTGGTTTCATTTAAAAGAAAGGATCTGAAGAGCTTTTCTAAGAAGCTTTTGTAACCCCTTGTTTTGCAGCAATTCTTCTAAATACGTTTAGGTCTTTCAAAGTACCATTTGTCTTTTTTTTTTTTTTTTTTTTGCAGAAATACCAAAGAAGATATTCATGCCAGAATTGCTTTTCATAGCATGTGAGCATGAGCAGGGGTTGTCTTTCCTCTCCATCTCCTACACCATAACACACGCTCCAAAATAGCATCACCATGTGCTGCGCTGAAATGCAGCTGTGAATAGCGGGAGGCAGGACACTCCTCTCTGACCATAATGTGGCTGGAGGTGCCCATTTCTTACCCTGTTCATGTGCAACAGCAGCTGTGCAGCTGTGCCAGTGACTTCTGTTGGTCACTGCAGTTTTGCTGCCTAGGTGAGAAAGTGTTGAACTACAGGTTTATCATTGAGACTTCACTGGTAATGAATGGTGAAAAAGACCCTTGGTGCTGTATGTGACAACATCTGCATGTATGTTTCCCTTCCTTTTTGTTAATCAAAGACACAGCATGCAACAATGAGATTTTCTGCCATGAATTAGATCATGATATTCAAGGACCAGACTTAAGGAAGCATGAGCTTTAAACTTGTGCAGGGGTGTGTAATTCTGGCCCCTTTAGCTAGATGTGCTTTGATAGCATTGGTAATTACAGTGCCACACTTGTGCTATGGGGCAATGCCTTCACAGGATGGCTCGCAGTCAGGCAGACCCATCCTTTCAGCATCACAGGCCCACCTGGAACAGATTTATTTAGTGCCAGCAAGTGATGTTTTGTTAGAATTGAACTTATTTTAGGACCCACCTGGTTTTTCAGCTGCTTGAAACTGCTGCAGCATCCTCTGCAGGTGCAGTTTGGGGTGGGGGTGGCTGTCAAAGGGCTTGTGCCAGCAGGTGGAGGTGGCGTGGGCTGTGATGTGTGTCAGAGGGGTTTTGGGGGGTTGCTACAGGTGAGCCTGGGCTTATGACTCAGCACTCACTCTGTTGCAGTGCTCCCCAAGTGGCAAGTAGCAGTATTGTGCAACCACATTAATTCCTCGCCAACCAGCACAAGTTGCTGCCAGTTGCAAACGCAGTTTCCTGTGTCCGGTGTGTGATTTTTTCCACCTGCACGCCTGCAATACGCCTCTGTACAGCTCTGCTTTCTGCGAAGGGCACAATAACAAACAGGAATGACCTGTACTCTCCATTCCTAATCGTACTGCTCCAGCAGTGGCTCCAGGCCCAGCGGTGTTCCTTCCAAGCCATGGCCCGTCGCTGGCTCTGCTTCATCCCCAGGGTATGTCAGAGCTGCAGCCAAAGGTGTGGCCTCAGCCCTTGCAGCACACTCCCAGGTGCATGGCTCTGAGCTCCTTCGTGTGCGTCTGGGCAAGCTACAGCCAGATCCGTGCCTTGCAGGTTGGCAAAACCTCCTCTGTCCGATGCGAATGCCCAATTCTTAGCGGAGACTGAGCTAAGGCTTTTCGGTCCAGCGGCTTGGCAGCATTTGGGACGTGTGATCAGCCTTGAATCTGCTGTCGTCAGGGCTGGGAAGAAAGGCTGAGGACCTAGCGGGATGTTGTGACTCAACTATGTGCTTACCACTCCCTCCCTGTCGTGATCTGTGTGCAAGGCCCAGGCACTGGAGGTATTCAGAGGGATTTGGCTGCCTGCTCATCCTGTTCTCTATTGGATAAACAGGGATTTCTCATCGCTGCCGCTGGAACAGGCTTTGTTTAAGAATGTAAAATACTGACAGCGGTATGAGGAGTTGCCTCTTTAGGATAATTAATATGCATCTTTTAAGTTGAAAATTTATACAGTGTTTCCTTTAAACTGTTAGAGCCCTTCTGGTGTTCACAGCATAATGGCAGTCAGCGCTAGGATTTCTTTACTCTTTGAAAGCTGCTGTGTCAATGGCTGGCTGCTCTTCTGCTGGAAAATGTACCATTCTGTGCTTGCTTCTGTTTAGCCCAATTCCTAATAAAATCATTGGTAGATCAAATATGAGTAAACCTTCACATCCTTCTGCATATTTGATCAAGTTTTACACTCAAAAAGAGAACAGTATTTAAATAACAGGCAGGCTTCATAAATCTGTATGAAGCTATAGTTCATTAGTCATTTTTTGGTGACACTTAAATATTTGTAGTTCATCTTACTCTAGCTATTCTCACAACTTAGGTAAAATCAGTAGTTTTATTCTAATTATTAAGAGTTCATTATAGTTGGACAGACTTGCTGCATCTCACTGAATTATTCTAATTTCAAGTGCGTTAGTTTTATAATTGCCTCATGGCTTTCCATAGACTCTTCACTTAAAAAGAGCAATGCTTGGAGGAGAAGAACTGAAGATAAAGGCAACAGAATGATGCATTGTACCTATTTAGTGATGCATCTCATTTTTTGAAAGGTGGAATAAGTTAAAGACGGTGTTTCCTTAATCAGCTGGTGTGCTGCGCTCTAGAGACATGACACGGCCCTGCTGGGAAAGGAGGAGGAATTGTACGAGTGTGAGCTGACAAAAGTTTGAAACTTAGAACAGGATGCATCTTTGGTTAGGGAGCCAAATAATGATTATTTGGGATGTGTGAAGCAAATAAAAGAAGTTTAGCCACATTTTCTGTTAAATTTAATGAACATGTTTAGGTCTCCTAAGATTATTTCTAAAAATCTCACAATCAACCTGAAGGTTTCAGCCAATGCAATGGATGGGTTAAGGGCTTTTGAATAATTTTGTACTGCATTGATTCTAAGAATTGCAGTTGAAGTAATGAGCATTAATGGGATCAAAGTATTACTAGTTCAAGGAAGAGCCTAATGCAGTGATAAAATCAGCATGAGCAATTATAATTTGGAGCTTACTTCTTCTC